AATTATTATTATTGCAATTCCCAACTAGATGTCGTTAGCGCTGCATTAAAAGAAGATTTTTGTACCACCAATGTAACCTACATTAAAAGGTTTTAATTATAATCTTCCTTCATTTTGGAAATATTTTAAGAATTTGATTATTATATCGTGTAATGGCGAAGTAGTAATTCATACTAATATTATAAATGCGAAAGTGTGTTTGTTTGTTTGTTTGTTTGTTTTTTTTTTTTTTTTTTTAATTTATTTTATGTACACACATTAAGGTACAGAAGCAGTCTTATAGTAATTACGTACAAAGGTTCTACTTATTCCAAATTCGCTGAAATATCTTCCAGTAGACCCATAAAGGAAATTATATTTAAATTGCAAACTTAGTGCTTACATTAGTACTACAAAAAAATAAGTAACATACACAATGTTACGGAAATTATATAAAATAAAACAATAAATAAAAATAAAATAAATCAATAAATAATAATAATAATTGATACGATAGTTACATATGATATATATATATATATATATATATATATATATATCATATGTATATATATATATATATATACATATATATACATACATAAATATATATATATATATATATATATATATATATATATACATATATATAAATTAACAGGATGCAAAGTAGTTATCTCTAAGACGTTTCTTGAATATCAACAAAGTTTCGGAATTTCTTATATTTGACGGTAGTGAGTTCCATAATCTTACAGCGTGAACTGAAAAGGAGTGGGAGTAATAACCGGAATTAAAGACGGGAAAGTCAAGAAGATTTTTAACAAGGGCTCTGCATGGTTTGTCCGGAGGATGGGTGAAGGAAAATCGGCTTCTGAGGTATGTGGGAGAGGAAGGGTTGTGCAAAATGTTATAGAGGACACATAACAATCGAGTGTTCCTTCGAAGTCGAATAGGAAGCCACTTGAGTTGCTTACGAAACTGAGATATACGGTCAAATTTCTTGAGCCCAAATATGAAACGGATACACTGATTTTGCAAGCGCTCAAGTTTATTAAGAAGCTCCTCTGTAGCATCCAAATAACAGGCATCCGCATAATCAAGGAGAGGTAGGATAAGAGTAAGCACGAGTGATATTTTAGCTTTAAGGGGTAAGAAATTTTGTAGACATTTAAGCGAATGCAAAGTAAAGTAGACCTTGCGACTAACTTCAGCGATATGCGTGGTCCATGTTAAATGGTGATCAAATATGACGCCTAAGTTTTTGACAGTATTGGCAAAGGATATAGGAACGCCATTAAAACAAACAAAAGGTAGTGATGTAAATTCTAATCTATTACGCAAATGCCTACTGCCTATTATGATGGCCTGAGATTTCGTGGGATTAACTAATAGTCCGAAGGATGCAGACCATTCACAGATGCGGCCTAGATCCGCATTCATAGCTGCAATTGCATTATTTGTATCACCCACCAGAAAATGACGATAAAGCTGTAAGTCATCCGCGTAGAGATGGTAATTAGATGTAATAACACTCGTAATAGAGTTAATAAATATGGAAAATAAAAGGGGGGAAAGAACGCCACCCTGAGGTACACCCGTAGTGATACCCGACCAATCGGATAGAGTGTCATTAACACGGACACAATGTGATCGACCACGAAGATATGAATCAAACCATGCGATGGCAGATGGGGAAATGTTTATAGATTCCAGGATCCGGAGAAGAATATCAAAGTCTACTGAGGTAAAAGCACTACTAAAGTCAAGCAAAACTAAAAGTGTAAGAGATTTATTGTCCATGGCCCAACATATATCGTCGGTTACTTTAAGTAAAGCAGTGACAGTGCTGTGTCCACAACGAAAGCCCGACTGATAAGTGGAGAGCAAGGAGTTAGACGATAAGAAGAGAGAGAGTTGACTATGGATGATGTGTTCCAAAACTTTAGAAAGAAAGGGTAAAATAGATATGGGACGAAAATGGGACAAAGAAGAAGGATTAGAAACCTTAGGCAGAGGAATTATATATGCTTGTTTCCAAACTGAAGGAAAAGATGATGACGATATAGAAAAATTAAATATATGAGTAAGAATTGGTAGAAGTAAAGGTAGAACTAGCAAAATCATCTTCCGCACATAGACCATCAATACCAACAGCATTTGAAGAGATGGCTAGGATGGATTTTTTGACATCTTCCTCCGTTACAAGGGAAAGATGAAAAGGGCAAACGTGCGGTTTCGGTATACCCGCCAATGCGAGTAGTGTGTTGGATTTGATGTAAGGATCTAAAGTCATAGGAGGAGTAGCAAAGTGATTGTTTAGATCCTTTACTTTAACGTCATTGTATTCTAGGATCGGAGACCTGCCCACACCAACAGAACGAAGGAACTTCCACATCTCAGTAGAATTTTTATTGTGTAGAGAGTTGTAAAAGTAGCGTCTTTTAGCATACCGACACAAGCGACTGCAGCGGTTGCGTAAAAATTTAAAACGATTTAAGTTATTTTCAGATGGGAGACGTTTAAACCTTTGCTTAGCTTTGTCCCTCTGGCCCATAAGTTCTCTTATATCTTGTGTAATCCAAGGTGCAGGATTACGCTTTATTTTTACGCGTTTGAGCGGGGCATGGTTATTGTATACCTTCAAAATTATATCATTAAAATTACAAACCTTCTCATTAATATTAGTATTGTCAACAATAGGTGTCCAATCAACATTACTTATATCATGCTGCAATGACTCCAGATCTATTGCCTTGTAATTACGAAGGAACAAGGATTGGGATTTCTTTTTAGGTGGACAGAGACGATATGAGAGGTAGATTAAATCATGATATGAAAAAGAGGCAGTTATTTTTCCATGAGACATGACACTATCAGTAGAAGAAACGATCATAATATCAAGCAAAGAAGGGTTACAGTTAGGGAAGTGGTGAGTTGCCTGAAGGGGGAGAGTGAGAAGATTGAAGGAAGATACCAAATTCAGAAGTTTTTGGGAGCGAGAATCATTTTTGATAAGACAGGTGTTGAAATCTCCCATTAGAATAATATGATCGTAAGTAGTACTAAAATCAGCAAGGATTTTTTCAAGCGTATCAAAGTAATCTATGTGCATGTTAGGACTGTAAAATACCGCCAGCAACATTTTTACATGATTGAGAGTAACTTCTATGAAGAGATATTCAGCAGATTGAGAGTAAATAGAAGGAGAGGCACATATAGTCTTATAAAATATATCCGAACGCAGGTATATAGCTACCCCACCACAACCTTTTCCTATACGATCATTACGAATAAGGACAAAACCAGGTAAGGCAAACTGTGTAGAGAGGAGTGATGGCTTGAGAAATTACTCAGAAATTAGTAAAGCATCGAGATGTGCACTGTTAATGGATGCTAGAAGATCAGGATAATGGCGAGGAACACTCTGGATGTTAATGTGTGCAACATTAAAGTTGTTAAGAAATTTAGAGCGCAGGGATGACATCTGGTCATACAAAGTTAAAGGTAACTCACTATCCGCACTTGTAAAACTACATGAAGATGAAGAGCATGAGAAGAAACTGTCATCAAAAACATCAAGATTATCCATTTAGCAAATAAATTAAGATAATATAATAATGTATAGTAATATAACAATAATATAATATAAAATGTAAATATAATAATACAGTTTAAAAAATATGTATAAATATGATATGTAAATACAATATATATTTATAAATATCAATTTAGCAATTATTTAGTTTAAAATAAAACAAGATTTTTTTGTCCTTTCACGTTGCAACAGAGCGTCAGCATAGCACGATTTTTTGTATGGAGATAGTTCGGTGGCTGTAGAGTGACACAGGTTACTTTTTTCCGCGGAAAAACATCTCATTCCCGTGGGTAAATAGAAAATGATGCAAAAGTTAGTCGTTATATTCTGAAGTCCCCCGCTATTATACTTGGAACACATCTAGGAAGGAGTGGAAACGCCGCATTCAAGGAGCGCCTGTTGCAAATTAGCCCGGTGTAAAGTCATCAGATGCCCTTCGTCGTGTGTATACCGTCCATGTAACTAATTTTGAATGTTTCTGTTTACGATTGCTGCTGCACCATGTTCGGGGTCCTACAGGGTATAAAGACATTAAAACTGTCAACGGTCAGGAATGCGCAACTTATAGAGAAGCATGTGAAGCTCTGCATCTTTTAGAAAACGATAATCACTGGGATGAAACCATGGAGGAAGCTGTGCAGTGCCAGACACCAGACAAAATTAGGGATCTTTATGCAACTCTCATATCATCTTGCGGACTATCTAATGCACATGAACTGTGGGACAAATATAAAGAGTACATAGCGAAAGATATTTTGCGAATGTTACAGCAGACACACGCGAACAAGACATACAATGAAGACAATTATAATGAAGCACTTTAAAAATTGAAGATAAAGTAATGACAATAGAAGGCAAAAAATTAAGCGACTTTGGAATGATAAGCCCTCAGCGAACAACCGAAAATGAACTAAGTGATGAATTTATACGAGAAACAAACTACGATATACCAGCTTTGCAGGAGCAAGTAGCCGAATTTGTACCTCGCTTGCTTCCCGAACATAAACGAGTTTTGACAAAGTATTAGGACAAATTGAATCTGGAAATGTTGCACTTTTCCAGATCCAATTTGGAGTGACGTTGCGGATGTCAATGCTACTAGAAGTACGCAAAGCTTGTTGCGAAATAAAAATTAATGTCTACGTCTAAAGTTATGATATCGATGTTTTGAAACATTTTTTCTGGACTTTAAAAACTGGTGCATATGTTAATAAATTAATCATTTGTGTGTGCTTAAGGATTGTGGTGAAAGAAAATTTGAAATAAAACATCTAAAAGTGAGATATAAGAGGTACCTTTAATAATAACTTTAATGTACATCGTCTATTTACCCTCGAACTACAAAGTGTCAATTACAATATATAGTCGGCGACACCTAGTGGTAATCATCTGCATCATTACATTGCAATTAACTTAAACTAACGCGATGAAGTGCAGTGCGTGCGGAAAGTTTATGGCGGCGGTAGAGGGCGTTACGTATCCTAAATGCGATAGAAAATCACACAGGGCCTGCGTCAAAGTTCCTGAAGGTGTGCAGGTCCAACCTACTTGGTTGTGTCCGGACTGTAAAATACGGACGCCCCGAAAGTCAGATCAGAATACGCCTGTGCGAGGACTTAATTCCGAGAATATTATCAAGCAAGGCGAAGAGAAACCCCAAAGCCCTGTGGCGCAAGGTTTTAAAGAGTCGGAACTAGCTCTTGAACTACGTAAATTTAGAGAAGAATTGCGAGAAACCAGGGAAGAATTTAGATCTTTCCGACAGGAGATGTTTGATTTGCGTAATTTCATAAAATCGTGTGAAGAACGCCTAGATACATTAGAAAACAAATACATCCGTCTTGAAGAACAACAAACCCTAATTAAGTCCAAAAATGTCTGCGGCAAAATTCAGGATCTCGAAACGATTATTGCGGACTTAAGAGCAGATTTAAATGATCGAGACCAAGAGCTGCTGTACAATGATATTGAAGTCGCCGGCATTCCAGAAGAGGGCGCAGAAAATGTTCTACACATTGTGACTGGTTACGCCCAGCTTAGTAAGCTGGGCGTAACCCTAGAAGAGCGCGATATAGTGAGTTGTGTGCGAGTCGGTCTTATGCACGACGAGACATTTTTTCTGGACTTTAAAAACTGGTGCATATGTTAATAAATTAATCATTTGTGTGTGCTTAAGGATTGTGGTGAAAGAAAATTTGAAATAAAACATCTAAAAGTGAGATATAAGAGGTACCTTTAATAATAACTTTAATGTACATCGTCTATTTACCCTCGAACTACAAAGTGTCAATTACAATATATAGTCGGCGACACCTAGTGGTAATCATCTGCATCATTACATTGCAATTAACTTAAACTAACGCGATGAAGTGCAGTGCGTGCGGAAAGTTTATGGCGGCGGTAGAGGGCGTTACGTATCCTAAATGCGATAGAAAATCACACAGGGCCTGCGTCAAAGTTCCTGAAGGTGTGCAGGTCCAACCTACTTGGTTGTGTCCGGACTGTAAAAATACGGACGCCCCGAAAGTCAGATCAGAATACGCCTGTGCGAGGACTTAATTCCGGGAATATTATCAAGCAAGGCGAAGAGAAACCCCAAAGCCCTGTGGCGCAAGGTTTTAAAGAGTCGGAACTAGCTCTTGAACTACGTAAATTTAGAGAAGAATTGCGAGAAACCAGGGAAGAATTTAGATCTTTCCGACAGGAGATGTTTGATTTGCGTTATTCCATAAAATCGTGTGAAGAACGCCTAGATACATTAGAAAACAAATACATCCGTCTTGAAGAACAACAAACCCTAATTAAGTCCAAAAATGTCTGCGGCAAAATTCAGGATCTCGAAACGATTATTGCGGACTTAAGAGCAGATTTAAATGATCGAGACCAAGAGCTGCTGTACAATGATATTGAAGTCGCCAGCATTCCAGAAGAGGGCGCAGAAAATGTTCTACACATTGTGACTGCGTCGCCCGCTTACTAAGCTGGGCGTAACCCTAGAAGAGCGCGATATAGTGAGTTGTGTGCGAGTCGGTCTTATGCGCGACGAGCAAAGTAGGCTAGCGAAGCTCCGTCCCATAGTCGTGCGGCTGGCGCGCAGGCACACGCGGGACACTCTGCTGCGGGCCGCGCGCGTGCGCCTGCTCCTTAACTACCGAAGGTCTAGGTCTCCGCTCCGAAAATACACGAGCCTTCTATATAAACGAACGGCTTACTAAATTGAATCGCAATGTATTTTTTAGAACTAAGGAATTCGCTCGGCGATTTGATTGGCGTTACGTATGGTCAAAAGAGGGAAAAATTTATACTCGTCGAGAACACGGAACAACGTCTTATCACATAAAAAGTGAAGTAGATCTCGAGAGGGTTTTTGGATCAAAATTCAGTTGGGGCTATCGGAAGCAATGGAAAAAAAATATAAAAGCTATAATTATCTGAATTTTTTTTAAATATTACCTTGTTCTGCTATTGCTCATTTTTATGTAAGTCGTTAATAATTGTGTTTGTATTTTTATTTAAAAACTATTTTTGGATTCTATTTCTGTCAAATGAAATATACTATGCCTATACTCGTATGTGGAATAATAATATATCCTGGTTAGTTCTGGCACAAATTTCTAACATCAATGTATTTAAAAGACTCACTAGCGTTTTGTCTTTAAGTTCTGCAATACATACATACAATAATTACTATACGAGTACATTAAGGTAAAAGAAAATTTACTCAATGGATAACTATTTAAAATTTTGTGATATCCCCGCAATGCAACGGCATAGTGTCGATATCATGGCCATCAATGAGACGTGGCTGCGGGAGGGCAAAGAGGGGCGCGCGGCCGCGATGCCCGGCTACCCGCTGCGGCACGCGCCGCGTCCGCCAGACGTGCGCTCGCACGACGGCGGCGTCGGCTTCTATGTGAAGCGAGGCGTCGGCTTTCGTGAGCTGTCCCACCCCTTGGCCCCGCTAGTAGAACAAATGTGGATCTCGACCTCTAGCGGCGGAAAGCAACTCGTTATCGGTTACCGCGTATAGACCGCCGTGGCTGAATGTCGATACATTCATAGACGCGCTTACCGTTACTATGGGGACTTTCTCATGGAGCCAAAACTTACTTCTTCTCGGTGATTTTAATATTAATATGTTAAATATGAAGCATAATACCACTATAAAGCTAAATAATTTTCTTACTTGCTTCAAATTAAAACAGCATGTAACTAAGCCAACCCACTTTATGGAATATAGCCAGACCTTAAGTGACGTAATATGTACCGACATAAATGTAAACGCAGTTTCTGTAGAACTTATACGTGAATTAAGTAGTCATGCTTTTATTACATGTCAAATTGATATGAGTAAAAAAAAGCCGGCACCAGTAACAATAATGTGTAGGAGAATTTCTGATATAGACGAGGGAGACTTTCATAAGGACCTTACATCAATAAATTGGAAAGAAATTGAGAGTATCGCGGATGTAAATAATCAGGTAGTACTATTTAACACAGCCATACTTACACTATTTGAAATTCACGCGCCTCTTAGAAAAAAAATTATTAAACATCAGCAATTCCCGTGGCTAACCTTTACTATAAAATTGATGATGAAAAAACGAGATGACGCATACATAAAATGAGAAAAAGTAAAAACGACATACATATTAAATACCATAAAGATCTAAAAATCTGCGTCAATAAAGCAATATGTAGAGAAAAACAAGCCTACTATAATTTTTATGTTAATTGTAATATAAATAATCCCATTTCAATGTGGAAACATATAAAGTCCAATGTTAAGATAAAACCAAAACACAATATCTCGATAGACTTGTTTAATGATCCAAATAAAATAAACGACTATTTTTTAAACTTGCCTGGAAATAGAAACGTATCGTTATCATATTTAACGTACTTTGAGTTCCACTGCTGCGTTAATGAAATATTTGAGATAAAGGAGGTAAATGAACTAGAGGTCCTAAAATTCATTAAAAGTTTAAAATCTAAAGCTATAGGCATTGATGGGATTTCTCTCGATATGATCCGTATGACCCTTCCGAAAACACTACCAACTATTACTGCTATGGTGAAAAAATCCAATAACTCTAAAACCTATCCGACATTATGGCAACATGCGTTAGTCAAACCCATACCTAAGAACTCAAATCCATTGTCTGAAAAAGACCTTCAGCCCATCAGTATTCTCCCCTGTGTCTCCAAAATTATTGAAAAAATTGTCGCAGAACGGCTAAACATGTATTTAGATAGAAAAAAAATTCTACCGGAAATGCAGTCGGGATTTCGTAAGAACCATAGCACCACGACGGCCCTAGCCCAACTTACTGACGATGTACTAACCGCTCAAGATGAAGGAAAAGGCGCAATACTAGTATTACTAGATTTTTCTCGTGCATTTGACTGTATAAATGTTTCCCTTCTCTTATCAAAGCTTCATTACTATGGATTCAGTAGCAGCGCAGTAAAATGGTTCGATAGTTATTTTAAAAACCGACTACAAACTGTAGATATGAGCGATGACCGAGGAACATTAATACGTTCGCAATCAAAACTAATCAAAGCCGGTGCGCCCCAGGGATCGAACCTGGCTCCAATATTGTTTTCAGTTTACAGTGCCGACTTAGTAAAAAACATTAAGCACTGTAAATTTCATTTATACGCAGATGATTTGCAAGTCTACATGTCATGTAATCCGCGTGATACTCAAGAAGTCGTTAATAAAATCAACGAAGACTTTGAAAGTATAGCCGCGTGGTGCGACTCAAACTGCCTTGTACTAAACGGAACTAAATCTAAACTACTAATTATGGGTTCTTAAAATCAAATAAAAAATTTATCGAAAGAGGGGCATGCATCCAAATTCGAGGGGAAATCGTAGAACGTGTAAATGAGATTCGCAATCTGGGCCTACTAATGGATGACAAACTACAGTTTGAGAACCACATACTAAGTACTAGCAGAAACTGCTTGTATAGACTTAGGTTCTTTATCATATTGCGGGTTTTTAAATTCGGATATTCGGGTAAAATTGTGTGACACACTTGTCCTTTCGAAATTTAATTATATGGACATTGTATATGGCCCGAGACTTTTAACGCAGTCGCGACGTCTAGTGCAACGTGTTCAAAATGCATGTACAAGATTTAGTTTTACAATACTGCCCCGCGCGCACGTCACCCCTTACATTAACAATGCTAAAATGTTAAAAATGGAATATGGCCGAAAAGAGCAACCGAAAAAAAACCTTATCTTGCTGACAAACTCATATGGTCACGTGATGTAAAACTTACAATACGCGCACTAGAGGGAATACTCTCGTCATGCCTCGTCACCGCACTCACGCTTTCCGAGGAAGTGTCAAATACGCCGCATCCAAGTGCTGGAACGATATACCGCCTCCTTTGCGAAATCTGAAAGCAGTACACTATTTAAAAATAAATATAGAACACAATTACTGCAAAGTCAGATTAACTTTGATCAAAGTTTATAACGCTTTGCACGATTACGTACCTCATCGTCGTAGATTATTAACAACGGAGCATTAAAATCGTCCTCTTGAGTGCGGCTTTTGTCTTCTTATAAACTTTTATATTCTCAATAATTACATAGTGTAGCATATAGCCCTTTATAGTATTTTAATAATCTCCCCTTTTGTAGTGTTCGTACAGACCTTCTAAGAGCATCTGAAATCAACATAAACGGGACATGATGTGTCTAAGTGGCATTAGACCTTGAACACTACTCTCTCCTTCTCACTTAAAATAGTTACTGTCTCTTTCCCCCTTGTTGTGCATAATTCTGTCATCATAATTTTGTTTAAAACATAATAAAATGAGTATATATATATATATATATATATATATATATATATATATATATATATATATATATAGCACTGATTTCGGTAGGTCACTGGTTGGACACACTGAAAATCAGCGCCATGGAAAAAAAATTCATGGCATTATGCTGAGTGTGCTCCTATTCCCAGATGACGCCTTGACACATACGAGTATAGGTATTGTATAGTTTGTAATATGTAGTATATTCTAATTTGTATTGTATAGCGAATATTATTTGTAAATTATGTGTTTTTTATTTTTTTATTTTTTATGTTATCTGTGGGGCGTCATTTTGGAGAATAAACCTTTCTTTCTTTCTTCTTTATTTTCTTTTTAGATGCCCCTGGAGGAACTGGGAAGACATTTTTGTTAAATGTATTATTAGCGAAAGTACGGAAAGATAAAAACATTGCTGTGGCCGTAGCTTCCTCCGGTATAGCCACCACGCTGCTAAGCGGGGGCCGCACTGCACATTCTGTTTTAAAACTCCCTCTAAATCTAGCTCAGGAAGAATTGCCGATCTGCAACTTTAGCAAAAATAGTGCACGAGGTATAATGTTACGAAAATGCAAACTTTTAGTGTGGGACGAAAGTACAATGTCGCATAAAAAAGCTGTAGAAGCACTAAATCGAACGCTCCAGGATTTGCGCAGCAATACCGATGTAATGGGAGGAATGGTGGTTTTACTGGCTGGTGACTTTCGCCAAACTTTACCTGTCATTCGAAAGGGTACACCTGCAGATGAAATTAAAGAACAAGGTGACAAAATTCAGTTTAACTACGAATATGAGAGTGCATTTGTATAATGATATCAATGCTGGAAACTATGCTGACACACTATTAAAAATTTGCGATGGGCTGTTGGAAACGAATTCTGAGGGCTGCGTTAAATTGACGAGAGATTTTTGTAATTTAGCACAGAGTCATTCCGAATTAATTGCGAGCGTTTATTCAGATTTAACGAACAACATGCATGAAGAGAAATGGTTATGTGAAAGGGCGATTTTTGCACCAAAAAATGAGAGCGTTAACAAAATAAATTCAGATATATTAAGCGAAGTAGCAGGAGAAATAACAGAGTATTTGTGAGTAGACACAGTTATGGACACAGAACAGAGCACTTCATATCCCGCA